GGGGCCAGAAGGGGTTTGAGAAAGGTGATGTCCCACTTTGGGGCAGATCCAGCAGTTATCCAACAGCCTTTGGATGAATTTGGGATGAGTCCAGGCTGCCAAGCTGGCTCAGCTCCCACAGCCTCTCCAAACAGGCAGCCCATGGATGCACTCCCAGTTTTTTGGGGACTCTACAAAGAGGATGAGAGGCTGGAGGAAGCCAAAAATAACTGTGCTGTTTGGTGAGCACAGAAGGGGAATTGTTGGATTTCTGTGCTTCCTTTGTGGAGCCGCCGCTGGAGCCGTGGATCGTGGAGTGCTGGGAAAGGCCGGGCACAAAGAGGACTCTGTGCTGCAGCTCCCCTGCACGGGGTCATCCCAAGGAAATCCTTTCCCTGCTTTCTTTAGGGATTGTGGGAGATCTGCACACAGCTCACCTTAAGTTTGGCTTTTTGGATGCATTTATTTAATTCATCCTGCATCGAAGCATCCGTTTGTCAATTTAAATGCTGAATTTGCTAATGCTAAATTATCTTTTAGATTTATATTGAGGGGAAATTGAATTTTGCTTATAGGATGTGCTGCTCCAAAGGGATAATAAGGCCAAAATTCCTACTTATCTACTGCTCCCCTGGCATAAATTTGTTATTTTTGGGTGGAAAAAGCACTTTGTGTGGCACCAAACCACCCTCGGTGCCTCGAGCCCAGGAGCTCTCCCAGGCCAAACTTTGGGAAACTCCCAATTTTTGTGTCCCCACATCCCCAATCCCATGAGTTCTCCTTGCAGGTCAGGAGGCCAGGAGCAGGGATGTTACTGCTACCAGATATTTATGGACAAACAGGAGGATTTGGTGGTTCCTGATGTGCAGCAGTTGGTGGAACGCTCCTTCCTGTCCTCAGATCTGAAGCTGGTGGAGGTGAGTCCAGTTTCCTTCTGCTTTCCTGCTTTTCCTGCTTTTCCTGCTTCCCAAAACACCTGTGAGGCCTTGGATGTTTTATATCCAACACTGAATCCAGGCATGATTTAGGAAAAGGCCTCTGCTTTCCCTGTTTCCCTTTTGTCCCGTGAATAATGACAGCAAATTGAGACAGAGCAAAAAAATCTCTGGGATTTGGCTCTTCTGGCAGGGTGACTCTTTCCCTTTTTATTTTTTTTCCCAGATCCCATCTTGCTTCATTATCCAAATGCCACGTTTTGGGAAGGAATATAAAATGTTCAGCAAAATCATCCCTTCCTTGGAGCTGGATATAACAGATCTGCTGCTGGACAGTGAGTGATGATGATGATGATGATGATGATGATGATGGGCTGTGAGCAACCAGCTCTGGGCTCTCTGGGGGTGGGATTCTTCTTCCTTGAGTCCCAGTTTGGCAGGACAAGCTGGGTTTTAGGTGGGATCTGGAGGAGAGACTCCCTCTGAGCTCTGTTTTTCCCTGGCAGGTCCCAGGGAATGCTGCCTGTGTGGGGATGTTGCCACTCTGGAATGCCCGGAGTGTTTCAAGGACCAAGTGTTTGCAGCCACGGGCCTGAAGCAGTTCTGCAGCTCCTGCTCCAAACAGGTATTCCATGGCTATTCCCAAAATCCTCCTTGGAAGCTGTCAGAGGGATGAACCCTCCCAAAATCCCCACGTTCCCCTGGGCTGTCCCTGCAGCTCTCAGCCCTTTCCTGAGGGTCGTTCCCACCAGGAGACAGAGGTTGTGAAACCTCTTAAACAATAACGGAATCATAGAAAAACTTGGATTGGACCTTGAAGCTCATTCCAGTTCCACCCCTTGGATGCTGCTCAGGTTGCTCCAAGCTCTTGGACGATTCCAGGGATGGGACATCCACAGCTTCCCTGGACAACCTGTTCCATGAATGAGGTGCAATCCTGCAGGAACTGAGTGCTGCTCCGTGAGCATTCCCACAGTTTTTGCCTCTTGCAGGGTGACAAGCTCCCATCTCCGCTTCCTGCTGCCAGGCTGTTCCCAGGCAAGCAGGGAGCACGGGAATCGCACCAGCAGGGAATAAATTGGGAATGTGACCTCTGTCCCCCCTTCCTGGCAGGCCAGGGCCAGTTGTGCCAATGCCACCCCGTCCCCTCTCCTCAGGTTCACTCCCATCGGCGCCGCAAAGCGCACAAACCCAGGAAGCTGCACATTCCAGAGGAATTCCAGAGCTGGAGCGCCCGGGGCTGCCAGCAGGTGCCCCGGGAGAAGCTGGAGCTGTTTGCAGTGCTGTGCATCGAGACCAGTCACTACGTGTCCTTCGTGAAATACGGCCCTGGCCACGAGCACTGGATGTTCTTCGACAGCATGGCCGACCGGCACGGTGAGGGAACGGGAATGGCATGTGGGAATGGCATGTGGGAATGGGATGTGGGAAGCTGCCTGGGCCTGCTCAGTCCACCCTTTCCTCTCAAGTTTCCCTGTTTAGGCTTTCTGTGGATTTGGCTTTCCTTTAATTAGATCGCAAGGGGGTTTTTCCAGGTGGTTCCAGCTCCTGGTTGTGGTCGAACAAGGGATTTTGGGATCCTATCCCAGCTTGTGGGCACGGATTGCTTCTCCTGTCCTTCCCCACTGGGTTTTTATCACAGAATCCATGGAATGGTTTGGGTTGGAAGGGACCTTAAAACTCATCCAGTTCCAGCCCCTGCCATGGGCACCTTCCACTATCCCAGGCTGCTCCAAGCCTCATCCAACCTGGAACTGGACAATTCCAGGGATGGGGCAGCCACAGCTCCTCTGGAAATTCCATTCCAGCTCCTCAACACCCTCTCAAGGAAGAATTTCTTCCCAATATCCCATCTAACCCTGCCCCCTGGCAATGGGAAGCCATTCCCTGTGTCCTGTCCCTCCATCCCTTGTCCCAAATCCTTCTCCAGCTCTCCTGGATTCCCTTTAGGTTGGATGGTCTCCCCTCATCCAACCTCTCCCACTGCTTTTGGCCTCCACATCTCCCAGCTGAGGCTCTGCACGACTCCAGAGCGTGCTGGGATCTGCTGGAGCTGTAGGAACCCATCCCTTTGGGATCTGGTTTGGGATTTTTCTTCCTCTTTCCACCTCAGGTGGCGAAAACGGCTTCAACATTCCCACGGTGACGCTGTGCCCGGAAATTGCCAAATACCTGGACTTGCCCCTGGCTGTGCTGGCCCTGGAGCAGCCTCGGGACATGGATGGGGTGGCCAAACGCCTCTTTTGTGACGCCTACATGTACCTGTACCAGAGCAGGAAAATGGCACTTTACAAGTGACACCGTCCCCGAGCGGATGGCAAAGGAGCAGCGTCAGGAATGGGAGCTTGGATCATCCCAGAAGGTGGAAGCAGCCAAGTCTGGATGCTCTGAGCTGCCTCTTCTCACCTCTCTCGGTGCCAGATGATCCAAGCCAGGCTGGGTTTGTTAAATCCTGGCTTTATCCAGTGGTTGGTACTTGGGCACAGCTGGACTTGGAATTACTGATGCTCAAATTCATTCTTATTCCCCACATTCCATAATTCTCCCTCTCCGGGTACTCTGCAGCTGGAGCATCCCCACATCCATGTTTCCCTGCCATCCCTTCCCTCCAAAGCTGGGGACCAGCAGAAATCAAAACACAAGGAATTTTCCACAGGTTTCCCAAGAAACCACAACCTTTCCTAAAAACCCCTCATTTGTGGAGTGAGGAAAATCAGGCCAGGATTGATTTTCCTCACCTATGTCCCTCAATTCCCTGCACTTCCCTTATCCAGCACTAACTGGCACTTTTACCCACCATCCCTTATTTCCAATCATGGATATCCTGAGCTGAAGCCATGCTTTAAAAATAGATTATTTTTTTCCAAGAACAAAACTGGAAGGAGGATGGGAGCAGAGGAGCAACATCTGGGCTCCTGCCGCTTCCTCTTTTTGGCAAAATCTGCACAGGATTCAGTGTTATTGCAACCTCACTTTCTGCACTTTCTGTCCCATCTTTGCATCCACCTCCAAGTTCTGGGGTCAAATACCAGAATTCCCAGGGCAAAAATAGAAAAATAAAAATGAGCACTCTGGGATTTTCTGCAGGAGGTTTTAGGGTTTGGGTGGGAACTGATGTTCCTTAAGTTAAATAAATCTGTAAAACTGGGGGTTCTCTGCTGTTAAGTGGGAAGTTGAGTCAGTGGGATGCCCAAATTCCACAAAAAAACCTCAAGGAAAGCATCCAGGATTCCCAGATGTGCAGGTTTAACCCTGTTCCTCTCTTTTCCTCCCCTCTTTAATGCAGAGTGGAGTAATTTTAACAAAGCCTGGAGCTTTGGATCGGTCCTGGTGGCTTGGGATGCGTGGTTTGGGATCTTCCTGGCATTCCAGGTGTTGCCAGCAGGTCCTGGAGGGATTCTTTCCCTCTGCTCAGCTCTGATAGGTCACACCTGGAATTACTGGGTCCAGTCTGGGGCTCCCCAGTACACGAGAGACAAAATCCAAGGAAAAACCACAGAGATGATGAAGGGACTGGAGCATCTCCTATGAGGAGATGCTGAGGGAGCTGGAATTGCCCAGCCTGGAGAAAAAAAAAGCTCAGGAATCTCCTCAATATCCATAAATACTTGAGGAGAAAGTGCAAAGACACCCAGGAGCTTCTCTGCCCACCAAAATGGTTCCTGAACATCAGGAATTGCATCTGTGAGGGTGACAAATGCTGGCCCGGTCACTCTCCTTGTTCTTCATTCCTCCTCTCCCAAAAACTCAGGAAAATCTCTACTCAGGTGCAATGGACTCCTCATCTTTGGTGCTTTGCTTTAAAAAAAAAAAAATCTAATTTTTAGTAAACTGATCCTGGATTTCCTGGAGTATTTTTTTCGTCTTAAAATGGGATACAATGCTGTTGGAATTCCCAGAAATCCAAGACCATCAGGCCATGCTTTGTTAAGCTCTTAATTGTTTTCTTCTCTGTAATTTCTGTCAAGATCCAAACCATGGACAGAACAGCAAAGCCACAGGTTTGATCCCTGGAGATTTCCCTCTCACCTTCCCATTCCCAATGGAGCTCCAAAGGGTTTTTCACTGGAATTAGGGTCAGAGCCATGATGGGAAAAGGCTTTTATTTGAAATTTTTTGCTTAGTGTGAAGCTCAGTGTGGGTTAGAGCCACGTTTCCTGTGGGAACGGGGGTTAGAGAGTGCAGGTGGCAACCTGGATCTGGGATCAGCCTGGAGCTGGGATCAGCCTGGAGCTGGGATCCACCTGAAGCTGGGATCAACCTGGATCTGGGATCAACCTGGAGCTGGGATCAGCCTGGATCTGGGATCAACCTGGAGCTGGGATCAGCCTGGAGCTGGGATCAGCCTGGATGTGGGATCAACCTGGAGCCGGGATCAACCTGGAGCTGGGATCAGCCTGGATCTGGGATCAACCTGGAGCTGGGACCAACCTGGAGCTGGGATCAGTCTGGAGCTGGGATCAACCTGGAGCTGGGATCAGCCTGGATGTGGGATCAACCTGGATCTGGGATCAGCCTGGAACTGGGATCAGCCTGGAGCTGTGACCAACCTGGAGCTGGGATCAGCCTGGAGCTGGGATCAACCTGGAGCTGGGATCAGCCTGGAGCTGGGATCAGCCTGGATGTGGGATCAACCTGGAGCTGGGATCAGCCTGGAGCTGGGATCAACCTGGATCTGGGATCAGCCTGGAGCTGAGATCAGCCTGGAGCTGGGATCAGCCTGGAGCTGGGATCAGCCTGGAGCCAGCCTCCAGATCCCAGGGAATTCGGCCAGAGTGGAAAGAGTTGGAAGGTGGCCACAGAGATGAAGCTTGGAATTGCCAAAGCAAAGAGTGTCCGCCACGGGTATCCCATGGGTGTCCCTTGTCACCCTGTTGGTGGCACTCCAGGCTTTGTTCTAGTGACACCAAGTTGGGCACAGGGATGGCAGGGCCACCAAGATAAGGCAAAAGGCTGCCACAAAGGCCACCAAGTTGAACAAAGGAGTGGCAGGGCCACCAGGGAAGGCACAGGAGTGGCAGGGCCACCAAGGAAGGCAAAGGAGTGGCAGGGCCACCAAGATAAGGCACAGGAGTGGCAGGGCCACCAAGGAAGGCACAGGGATGGCAGGGCCACCACAGAGGGCACAGGAGTGGCAGGGCCACGAAGATAAGGCAAAAGGCTGCCACAAAGGCCACCAAGGAAGGCACAGGGATGGCAAGGCCACCAAGTTGGACACAGGAGTGGCAGGGCCACCACAGAGGACACAGGGATGGCAGGGCCACCAAGATCAGGCACAGGAATGGCAGGGCCACCAAGCTGGACACAGGAATGGCAGGGCCACCAAGGAAGGCACAGGGATGGCAGGGCCACCAAGGAAGGCACAAGGCTGGCAGGGCCACCAAGCTGGACACAGGAGTGGCAGGGCTACCAAGTTGGGCACAGGGATGGCAGGGCCACCAAGATCAGGCACAAGGCTGGCAGGGCCACCAAGCTGGGCACAGTTCTGCCACTTCGGGGATGCAGGGACAGCTCTGCCTTCCCCATCCCAGCATTCCCAGCTTCCCTACTGGGACCCCAGAGCTCTCTCCCAGTTCCTGCAGGTTCCTCGGGTTAGTGCCAGGTCTAAATTAGAGCCATTAATTCCTAACGAGACACCCGGGCTTCCCAAAAAAGAGCGGAGCAGGAGCTGGGGATGAGCAGGGGCCCCCTCAGAGGCTGCCCTGGCGCAGCTCCAGGAAGAGCTGGTGCAGCCGTTCCGTCACGGCCACCTGGGAATGGGAACAGCAGGGGTCAGGGAGCAGCTCCTGGGAATGCCTCTGGCTTTGGAATGGCACTGGATTTGCTCAGGCCACCAAATCCAGCGGCATTCCCAGATGTGTGCCGGTGGGATGTGTGGGCAGTGCTGGACGTACCGGGTAGGGCTGCGGCTCGTGGAGCCGGCGGTGAGCGGGGCTGAGCAGGTTGAGGGACACCTGGGCGTGGGTCCTCACCTCGGGCAGGCTGGGCAGGGGCTCACACACCTGCAGGGATGGAGATCCACGTGGGAAGATCCATGTGGGAAGCCACCACCCGAGCCACCGCGTCTGGGTCGGCACCAGAGTTTTGGCACATCTCAGAAGCCACCACTGCCCCTGGATCCATCCTCCAGCCTGGAAGAGGAGACCCCCAGGAGATGGGAGCACCCCTGACCTGGCCATCCCTGAAGTAGGTGCGATGGAGGGGCTCCACAGTGCTGGGAATGACCTTGGTGCTCTCCTCCAGCCGCCCCAGGACTCGGATCCCCAGCTCCTGCCCCGCGCTGGGCGACGGCTCCTCCTCCAGGGCCATGAGGTCCATGAAGGGGTGACCTGCCAGGAGGACATCAGGGAGGGAATTATGGAGCAGGAGATTCCCCCAGGACCCTGGGAAGGGTCTCCAGACTCACCAGCAGCATCATAGAGCCGATAGATTGCCTTCATCCCCGGGATTGTCATCTTCTCCTCATCCTCCGTGAGCTTCAGGCACGGGGAGCCATTGACCTCCACCAGCTGTGGGAGAAGGGAACGGAACCTGTGACCCCTCTGGGGAGGCAACTGATGCACATCAGCTGAAAAAAGACAATTAAAAACCCTAAAACCACCCCAAAGTTGGATATTCTGCCTCCGCCTGCATGTGGAGAACCTGGGGCTTCTGGTGGGCAAAGAATTGGCCATGACCCAAAGGTGGCACCCAGAGCTTCCCTGTGTCCTGGGCTGATCCCACAGCGTGGGCAGCAGGAGAGGGGGAATTCTGCCCCTCTGTCCCTCTCAGGTGAGACCCCACCTGCAGAGCTGCTCCAGCCCTGGGGCCAACACCAGGAGGACGTGGAGCTGCTGGAGCAGGTCCAGAGGAGGCCATGGAGATGCTCCAAGGGTTGGAGCCCCTCTGCTCTGGAGCCAGGCTGGGAGAGCTGGGAATGTCCAGCCTGGAGAAGGCTCCAGGGAGACCTCAGAGCCTCTTCCAGTGCCTAAAGGGGCTCCAGGAGAGCTGGAGAGGAACTTGGGACAAGGGATGGAGGGACAGGACACAGGGAATGGCTTCCCACTGCCAGAACGCAGGGCTGGATGGGATACTGGGAAGGAATTCCTCCCTGTGAGGGTGGTGAGGGGCTGGAATGGAATTCCCAGAGAAGCTGTGGTTGTCCCATCCCTGGAAGTGTCCAAGCCCAGGCTGGACAGAGCTTGGAGCAACCTGGAAGAGTAGAAGGTGTCCCTGCCCAAGGTGGTGGAGAACCTTCAAAAATCCCTTCCAAGGCAAATTCTTTGTGACTCCGTGACTCCAGTGGGGCTGGAAGGCCATGGAGCAGGCATGGACGTGGCTCAGGGAGGATTGGGATATTTGGGATTTAGGCTGCCACCTTCACCTTGTAGACACAGCCCAGCGATGGCTGCAGGGGACACGTCACCAGGTGGGTCCCGATGCCGATCATGTCGATCTCGCTCCCCTGGGGCAGCACAGAAGACAGAAACCATCAACATCCCAGCCCTGCCAGCTCCAGGGACAGCCCAGGTGACATCCCAGCCCTGCCAGCAGCACCCAGGTGACATCCCAGCCGTGCCAGCAGGTTCCTCACCTCCCTCCTGAACTCCTCCAGGCTCTGCTCGCTGATGTCGTTGCTGACAGCGATGGGGATGGTCTCAAACCAGGGCACCTGGAAGCTGCAAGGAGCAGGATTTGGGAGGATCCATGGATGCACCCACAGCACCCAGAGCCTCCCAAATCCTGGCTGGAGGCAGGTGAGGATGACATCCATCCCAGAGCTGGTGTGGGACTCACTGAGCTCCGCAGGCTTGGAACACTCCCCGGATTTCCTTGGATTGCTGGGCCAGGTCCCCACTGTCCAGGCGCACCCCGATGGCCTGGTATCCCAGCTGGTGCAGTGCCAAGGCCACGGCACAGAAATTGGGCAAACCACTCCTGGCATGGGCAAGGAAAGCGTTAATGACAAGTGCAAAACGGATCCAGGGTGGATCCAGCAGCATTTCCAAGCCCTGGGCCAGCCAACATTCCTACTTCAGGGCCACATCCATCCCCTGTGCCATGGTGGTGTCCTCACCTCCTGACACAGTAGGTGTCCAGCAATCCCTGGAAGTCACATGGGAAGGTGACAGCGTAGGACACGAAGGCGGCCAGCTCGCCCTGGTTGGCCTTGCTGGGAGGAGTCTGGAGCAGGTCACAAACCCTCTGCAGCCAGGACACAGCCAGGTCCGCCAGATCCACGGGATCTCCTCCGGCCCGGGGCGGCAGCTCCTGACAGGGGAACACGGGATTTGCACAGCCCATGGCATCATTCAAGTGCCAGGAGTGTGGGAACATGGGATTTGCACAGCCCATGGCATCATCCAAGTGCCAGGAGTGTGGGAATATGGGATTTGCACAGCCCGTGGCATCATCCAAGGTGCCAGGAGTGCGGGAACAGGTGGAGTGTTCCATTCCCCATCCATCCCACTTTAATTCCCGTCTGCATTCCCATCCCCATCCCACCCCTATCTCATGCCACATCCTATTTCCACCCCTATCCACATCCTCATTCCCATCCCATCCCCATCT